CGCCCTGGGCTGCAGGCGGCACTAAACCGCTGTGCCACCGGGGCTGCCCAATTTCAGTATTTCTTTAGTACTTCTTGTAAGTCTGCTAGCCATAAATTACTTTGGTCTTTATATATCTGAGAATGTCTTTGCTGCACTTTCATTTTAAAAAGATAGTTTTGCTGAACATAGAAGATGGACACAGAAACATTTTTGGTTGAGTATTTTTCCTTGCAGCACTTTGAATATATTATTCCAGTGCCTTCTTGCCTGTTTCTGATAAGTTACCTGTTGAGCATATTATTGTTCCTCTCTCTATATGATGTCATTTTTTTTCTTGCTGCTTTTAATTTTTTGTCCATGATGTGTTTCAATGACTAGTTACAGTGTGCTTAGGTGAGGATCTCCATGAACTTATTTTACTTGGGAGTTTGATGAACTTCTTGGATATGTAGATTAAAGTTTTTCCATCAAGTCTGAGACATTTTTGACCATTATTATTTGAAAAAAATTCTGTTCCTTTCTGTCTTCTTTTGGGAATCATCCCTATATTGGTAGGCTTGATGATATTTCATATTACCTCTGAGGCTTTGCTAATTTTTCTCCAATTTTCTCCCTCTCATCTTCAGATTAATACTTTTCATTGATCTATTTCAAGGTCACTGATTCTTTCTTCCAACAATTGAAATCTATTTTTCAATTCATTATGTACATTTTGCATTTGGGTTATTTATACTTTACAACTTTAGAATTTTCATTTGGTTCTTTTATTTTTTATTTATTTTTTTTATTTTTTATTTATTTTTATTTTATTTTATTTTATTATTTTAGTTTTATTATTTTTTAATAATAAATTTATTTTTTATTGGTGTTCAATTTGCCAACATACAGAATAACACCCAGTGCTCATCCCGTCAAGTGCTCCCCTCAGTGCCCGCCACCCAGTCACCCCCTTCCCCCACACTCCTCCCCTTCCACCACCCCTAGTTCGTTTCCCAGAGTTAAGAGTCTTCCGTGTTCTGTCTCCTTTTCTGATATTTCCTACCATTTGGTTCTTTTAGATAATTTCTATTTATTGATAGCACTGGGGAGTCACTGTCATTTTATTTTAATTCTTTAAAAATTATTTTAAAATGATTTTTATTCATTCTATGAACATGTATTTAATAGCTACTTTGATGTTTATGCCTGCTAAATCCAACATTTGGAGTCCCTCAAAGACAGATTTTATTGAATGCTTCCCTGTCCCCACCCCAGCATGTGTTACACTTCCCTGTTTATTTTCCTTTACATGTATTATAAATTTTTGTTGGCACTAGACATTTAAAATAATACAGCTGATCCGGTGCAACTTTTAATTTTGATTTTGTTTTTCTCCCTAGGGTATTTTTTCTTTTTTGTTATTGTTGCTGTTGTTTTTCAGTGATTTGCTTAGATTTAATATGCCTCTCCTGTGGTTTGCTTCTGTCACTGCTCCATTTTTTAAAATTCTCTCTTTCTCTCTCTTTAGCATAGGGTTACTCTTATTTCTTCATGGTTCAGGTCTAGTCAATGACTAGTTGTTTGTACTCAAACACTAGTAAGGCTTCCAGCCTTGTTCGGTGGGTCTAAGTGTAGGTTGGGAGCACACTCAAAGCTCAGGCAAGTTTTCAAGTCTACCATGACTTACCTTTTGCCTAGCCTTCTCAGATCTCTGCAATGTGCTCAGACTTCCAGCTACCCAGGATTGTGTAAAGAGCTTATATCCTCTTATGGGCTCCATGTCTGTACAGCTTCACTAGTCTCCGGGGATATGTGGAGAATTTATCAAGCCCCACTAGGACTCTCATTTCCAGGTTCCTATTAAATTTCTGGCTAATTCTCCTGTCTGCTGCTGTCCCAAGCAGGACTAAAAGCTCATGTTAGGAGACATGCAGGCTTTTCCCATTTGTCACTGTGAATGTGGGTTTCCCATCCTTCACTCTGAAATTTGTCAACCCCCTTTGACAAACAAAGATGCTGGTTTTCACAGCTAGCCCACCCTGCTAGAACTCCCATGCTGGATCAACTGGAGCAGCTCAGGAAAGAATGCCAAGGATTGCCTGAGGACTTACTTCAAGTTCAGCAGTTTTGAGAAGCTAATTCTTCTCAATTTGTTGTTTTGGGTTGGTTTCTAGAGACCTGAAATGGTTGTTTTGGAAAAATCTGTCCAGTTTTATGGTTGCTTTTTGGGGAGAGGATGTCAACTCATTCACTTCTTCATAGTTGGATCCTCCTGCTTTCACTTAGCTTTTGGCCTGCTAAATTTCTACTGCCATAACACATCTTAGAAGCTTTTCAGAGAAGTTTTAAAAATGTATTCCCAACATCTTTTGGGTTTTTTTGGATTTTCAGTGGGAGGATCAGACTAGATTTCTAGTCTGCCATACAAAAGAGTTAATATTTTATCAGTTTCTTATGACCATTAAATGCATTTCTTTATGCAAAGAATTCAGCAAAGTGTCTGTACCACAAAGGGGCTCAAAAAACAGTAGTTCTAATGTCTGAACACTTACACTGTAGGGATTTTACATACTTTGTTCTATTTAATCGTAACTCTAAGAGGTAGGCATTCCAATTTTAATATTAGCAAAAAAAAATTTTACTATACCAAGGACATGCAGGTAGTAAACGGTGGAAACAAGATTTCAATCCAAATCTAAGTAACTCCAAAGTTGGTACCTTCCCCACTTTACCACTCTACTTCCATGGTGAAGGATATTTCAGAGGCTGTTATTTTGGCATAGCCTCTAGAGTAACTAGGAGATAGTAAGAAATTAAACCTATTACAGGAATCAGGAAGAGGGGTTATTGTAATAATTGGCAGTGATCCCCATCATAGTAGGGCATACTTCGAATCCCAAAAGCAGACTGGAATTTTGCTAAGACAACTAACAAATGACTGTAATCCTCTGGGTGAATCCTCAAAACTGATAAGGTCTTGGGGGTTCTATATGGTATTTGCCCCAATTCCAATTATACATACAATGAAGAACAAAATCTGAACTAAGGCTACCACAAAAATACCTGAAAACTGAACCTCATTTCATTTCAAAGCTTCTAAGCATATTTGGGGATTAAGGAACAAATGTTGGGAATATGGTCTCTTTTGGACTGAATTTGACAACATGGTGGCATTTATTTGAGTGATTATGAATCTGGTCCTCAGTTCTGAATATCCAGAAACTAGATTCTAAGCTACTACAAAAGCCTTCTTGACTGCTGTCTCCATTTCCAATCTTTCCTTACCTTTGATCTGTTGTTTAATCCTCACCTCACCAATACTTCCAAACATTCTTTAACCATGTTGCTTTTGGATAGTTTCTCAGTACTTACTATTGTTCTTTTGGTTCTCCACCATAGACCTTTGTAACTTGGCTGCCAGTTTATCTATAAACTCTGTCTCCTGCAGCTCCCTACACCTGGTAGGTTCATTTATTCACTATCCTGTTATTCTCTATTCTTACTACATTCATTCTTACCTCCAAGTCTCTGCTTGAGCTTTCTCCCTCCTCATTTTTTCCCCTGCCACTTCACACCATCTCCCTTCCTAGGTGTACTCTTTTTTCTGTCACCTACCCAAATCTTACGCGTCACTTAGCATCTCCCTCCTTTCATTCATCTAGGAGACATTTGTTCATGCCAATAAGTGTAAGCTCTAAAGGCTGTCACTAAGGTGGCTTTCCCCATATGATTTATCAAAACCCACATCTAGTGTAGCTGTGGCTCCACATTAGGTGGAAATCTCATTTTTGTTCAACTGATGAATCACTTTTATCACACTTTTGACTACTTCCAACTTTAATATAATTAGGAGATCAGCCCTTCCCTCCCAGGAGTTATACATCTATCCTAGGCAATCTAGCCTAGTTTAGATATTCTCTCTTCTGGGCCTAAGACACAGCATATGGTTATAACCAAGTAACAAATGTATTTCCAGAGGAAAAACTTAATTATAATTATGAGTCTCAGAACTGAGGTAGTCATAAATTATGTTGCATAATGTTCTTAAAATTATAAAACTATTAATATTTGACTGCATTAATTATTTTGCTCCATGCTGTGCAGGCAGCCAAGAGATAATGGCTTCCCTTTAGCAAAAAAAAAAAAAAAAAAAAAAAAAAAAAAAAAAAGCTATTCAAATGCTTGATTTGCTCTCAGCCTGTATCTCCTGCTTTTTCTTTGCCATCTCTTTGGTACCCATCATCTTCCCTATGTTTTTGTCAGTTAGTCATCAATGTGCATGGGATAAAGTAAAGAATACTGGAATATTTATCAGTTTACCAGCTGGTCAGCCTCCTTGTCCCAGTCTCATCCTTTCCCACATAGGAGAGGGACAGCAGGAAAAGGAGGGAAGGTGATGGAATGTGGTTAGAAGAACGAAGGACTTAATAAAAGAGAAAAAAATAAGAAGTGAAGAAGGATAAGGGAAGCATAGATGTTCTAGGACTTTAGTGCAAATGAATTAGTCTTTCATCAATCCCTACTGGTTAGTATAAGACCACACATATTTAAGAAAGAAGAAAAAAATGCATTCAGAAGAGAATTATTTGCTAACACCTCTATCGATATTTGGTAGGTGATACAAAATGAAGAGGACTGGCATAATCCGTGCCTTACCTATGGGTGGCTTACTCTACTAGCACAATCACAGTTGCTTGCAAAACCCACATTTCATCAACTAAAGGTGGCCAAAGGCTTATTCCCATTTCAAAATATTGTACTTGATACTATATATAAAGATGTATCACTATTGTTCTTGCATTCCAAGGCACCTGAAAATTCCATATAAATAATTTTGCTTTCAATAAGTCAATGGACTTTCATTTAATCTTATCTGACTGTGCTCTGGAAAAACAAGAAACAAAAGAACATTTTTGGCTAGTTACAAATACATCTGAACTGGGATGCAATAGGAAGGGAGAATCTGTCATTTTTACTGAGGCAAACTGCTGAGAAAAATAAAAGTAGTTATACTCTTTTCGCAATATGCTTCTTCTTACCTAAAACATAAATCTCACTGTTGACTACAGCTGTACTGAATCGGTACTTAGAGAACTTCATGGGCGCCCGGTCTGTCCATTGATCTTGGCTGGGGTCATACTGCAACAGTCTGTTGCTGAGTCGATCTGGTTCTTCATCAGGAAGATCCATCTGTGTGAAATATGACAGCGGATATAATAACATACCACTCAGAAATCTGAGTACATGAATGCAATTAATCCAAGCATGACAGCTAAGGAGATGAATAGGAGTTAGCTGTTGAGACTCACACTCAAAAACACACCAGATCCCGTGACTTGGGGGTGATAAGTATGCTGTCAATGTCAGAGGAATTTATATTCTTTAATAATGGAGTTAGGGTGTCGGCTTATAGTAAACAATCTGTGATCTGAGCAAAGAGACAAGACAGCACTTTTTAAAAAATGAAGCAACTGCAGAGCCTTAAAAATGAAACCCAACTTTCTTGAACAGTATTTAAAGTGCTATTTCAGCAAACTTTATAGTGCTAGAGTTTAATATTTGTGAGAAACTAATTTTAAAAATTCATAAGGCATTTTTCTCTATATTTTTCTAATCCAGATGGAACAAAATTAAGAAAATGTTTTAGCGTTTCAGTAATCAGAGTATGACCTATATAGGAATAGTCTGAACTTAATTTTCAAGATTGATGGATTAATACACATTATTTGCAGTTATTTTTATGTATTTATTTATATGCATTTTTAATTAATAGAGGCAGTAAAAACTGAACTATTTCTTACACACACGAAATAGCTTCCCCTAATCATAAACTTCAGGTGAAGTAGTGTCGTCTTCGATGTGTGAAGAACTTTTATGACATCAAAGGATGCTTTTTAAATGTCTTTTGTTTTGGATGCAGGTGTTTCACACAGAAATAATTGCCATCCTTAGGAAAATTGTAATTAAATTAATTACTTTAAATACACCAGGGATTATGGTCGCTATGATGCAATCGCAACCCCAGGTTATCTTGCAATTTAATGTATTGTATTAGGTAGGGACCAGCTAAAGCTTTTGTTACACAATAAATATTCATGTGTCATTTGTTCAAAGACATTATACAGTAACATATATTGATTTTATTAATTTTCCTTCTAATTTTTAAGTATTTGATCTTTATTTTAGTGGAAAGAAAACCAAAGAAAAGCCCCTCCGGAGCTTATTTATGCAAAATTAACTCGGTAATGGACAGCCCTGAAAATGCTTAATTACAAATAACCGGTCAGGTTTCAGCTACTAGCTGTGATTAAATCTGTACTACTTACTTTTTGTTACACAGGAAACATTTCAAAACATATTAAATGTGAAGTTTAAGTTTTAGAAACAGGTATGATATGCAATAAATGGTAAAATCCAAGCTTATGAAATGAATGCAAAAAGCATTGGTTTTAGCAGTTTGATCATGAAGCAAATTTCCAAAACAAGAAATTATATAGGCAAAGATAAGTATACTTTTTGTCATGGGGATGGACAATGAGCCAGTAAGATTCATCTCATGAGAAAAACTGGCAGGCCAGGGCAGAAGGCAGCTGGCGTGCTACTATCTGAGAGCTCAAGGCGTTGGGAGAGAGAAGACGGAGGGCTACTGTGGTCATGCTCTACTGACTTTGCAATCTTGGCTTGCCATGTCTTTGCTGGGCTTCAATGCAAATGGGACCCTGGTTTCTCTTTCTGCTGGTGCCCAGCAAAGACATTAAATGTTTAAAATCACAATATAATATACTTTTGTGGAAATGATTGTGCCATCACAGGCGGAATATTCTGGTTTCCCACTAAGAACTTCATTTTTTAAGATTTTTATTTATTTATAAAGACATGAGAGACATAGAGAGAGGCAGAGACACAGGCAGAGGGAGAAGCAGATTCCCTACGGGGAACCCGATGCAGGACTCGATCCCAGGACCCCAGAATCACAACCTGAGCCAAAGGCAGATGCTCCACCACTGAGCCACGCAGGTGCCCCTAGACTAAGAACTTTAAATTTGGAAAAGACCTAGGAGCTACTTGCCTCAGCTCAGACAACTATTAAGCAGACAAAAGTGGGGTGAGGATCCAGTGTCTCTTATCTCTTACTTAAATGCTCCCCACAGATCATTCCCCAGCAGAAGCCTCATTCATAATTAGCAAGAATGGGAAGGATTATAAAGAGCATAGCATGAATACTGAATGAAGTTGTGTCTATGAATAACACACTTTAAAATTCATTCTCCTAAACTGCCTTAACACTTTACAATCTTAAGTTTAATATCCTATAAAAGGCATTTTACCAAGATGTAAGTCATGCTCTTTTAGTGTTCAATAACTACAATATTTTTCAACACAGCAGCCAGATGTAGCACAGCCATGCCAATTACATGTACAGGACATCTCTTAACCTGAGGGGTCCAGCCTCCGATCACATAAAGCTTATTATTCACTGTTACTACGGCATGACATGCCAACTGCAGTGGAAGGGGAGACATCCTTCTCCAACTGTCCCGTTCTACAGAATACTTATCGACACAGTTTGTAATGAGATACTGGTTTTTAACTTTCATCTGTCCTCCTATAACATAGAGGTCATTATGGACACTGCCCAGAGCATATAGCTCTCGAAATTCAGCTGTGCATAACTTTTCCCAAAACTGGTTTCCTCTATCATGATACCTGCAAATTAAAAGAGAGAACCCAGGATTAGTGTTAACTGGAAAACAACTTATCCAAGAAACACACTTAAGTTTCTTCTCCAGCTAGAAACAACACCATTTGGCTCTTCTAATTGGAGAGGAAGAAACATTAAGATAGTAATACAGGTTTGTGCTTCTTTTTTGGCAAGGATTAATGAACAAACTATAATGTTCACAGAAATAATTAACCATATCTCTCTGCAGAATTTTAGAAAATATATTGACAAAGTATAGATTACCTAGGACTAGCTTTCATTTCCTAATTCTGAGACAGAATATCAAGAATAGGAAATCTTGCAACAAATCATTTGTAATTTTACTATACTATAAAAGAGGAATGAGTAAAAATGAAATACAAAAATGTCTTATTCTGTAGACTAGAAGTCTCATTTTAATACTACATTAAAGCGATCAGCTTTCCAGTAGAGAATCTCAAAATATCTCAATTCAGGTATTTCTAATGGGACAAATTAGAATACACAGAATTTTAAGGATTGTTCTTGTAGTTGTAACTAGCTTAGAACAGAGTCAGGAGCACCTGCAGATGTTTGCTACTACATTAAACATCTGTTTTAATGCTCCAGGTATGATAATTTTGCCAATTTCTTCTATGAAAAAGTATGTCAGTCTGAGAAGGGTTTTGGAAAGTAGGCACACCAGGATATATGGTCTCTCAGTACCTCCTAGAGTCCAGCACATTAACTATGTATGTGGTGGGGCAGGGGGGAATTCTGTAGTCACTAAATATGATTTTGTGGGTATCTTTTGTCTTGCCTCTTGATAATGGTAAGTCTGTTTTCTCCAATCATGATTTGGGACACATTGTCTAAGAAGAACAAAAGTACTTATGGGGACATTGGGATGTGAAATTAGATCTGTCCCAGAAAATCCAGAATATATTCTGGAATTCAAAACTAAAACAAAACCAGGAAAATATGGAAAATAAGAAAAAAAAAGGTGTTCTGCTTGGAAACAAATGAAGAAATTATGAATGTTCTATATGGGGTAAAATTTTAAAGTACAGACTACTTATTTTGTATCAAACATTATTTTGTATCAGATTATAGTTTTTCCTTGTTCCGGGGAGCCAACTCTTATACTCTTCCCTAGAGATAACTCCTTGCTTCAAGCTTGACAGGGAAGTTGGAAGATAATGTTCCTTTCCTGGAGGGCATGTCTGGCTTGTCACACACTGAGCGCAGAAACTGAACAAACCCAGGGATCGTTGTCTTCTATGTAATTCTAGGTAGGGAGCCAGTCCCTGGAATCACAGATGATATTTTCACCACTACTTTTAATTGGACTGGATTTTAGAAGAGGAAGGAGGGTTGGGCATCAATGGTGGTGTGGGGTGGGTACTGAAGTAAAGCCAGTGGATGAGGATATCAAGAGAACTAAAAAATAGGTTTAAGAAAACAGGCCAAGATTGAAATACATCCCATGAAGATTGGGAAGTTATGTGTTTGCTGGGCAATCTTGCTAATATGATTTTAACCCTTTGAACTAAAAATGGGGAGAGAAAATGTCCAGATAAAACTATGAAAATATTAAGAAAAATGGATATGACATAAAATGCCATAGTGACAAAAGCAGTTCAACATTCACAGAGGTTGATCGTGTACATATCTTCAGCTGTCTGTACCCCCAAGTATGAGAAAGAATTACAGGAGATGGAAAGGTATATCTTTTCTGAAAAGAAATGACCTACTAGAGTACAGGTCTACTTCCTCTTTTAAGCCAAGAAATATATATGTATAGAAGTCTACGAACTATATAGAGTAGAGGCAAGTTGAAGAGTATCCAGGAAAAGATAAAAGGGGTAAGAACAGAAATATTATTGTAGGAATGTACCATGAGATGATCATTTCTCACACATATAATAAACTGGAACTAACATGACCTTCAGTAGTGCTATAAGACTTTAATTATCTAGATATCTGCTGGAAGTCTGTCTTATTTAAGCCCAAAGCAATGCTTCTTATATTTCCATTATTTGCCTTGCTGACCATTTCATTAATGAAGTAATAAGTAATAATAATAAGTAATAATAATAAGTAATAATAAGTGTATGTCATCAGAAAGGGAAGTAGGCTTTCAAAAAAAAGAGGAAAGATGTCTGAGGATCATAACAGGAAGACACCTGGACAAAGTTGGATGTTTATTAAAAATAATGGCAGTCAAGAATTAGGCAGGAGACATGAATAGACATTTCTCTAAAGAAGACATACAAATGGCCAATAGACACATGAAAAAATTTTCAACATCACTCAGTGTCAGGGAAATACAAATCAAAACCACAATGAGATGCTACCTCTCACCAGTCAGAATGGCTAAAATCAACAACACAAAGAAACAACAGGTGTTGGTAAGGATGCGGAGAAAAAGGAACCCTTGTGCACTGTGGGTGGGAATGCAAACTCGTGCAGCCACTCAGGAAAACAGTATGGAGGTTCCTCAAAAAGTTAAAAATAGCGCTACCCTATGACCCAGCAATTACACTAGGTATTTATCCAAAGGATACAAACATAGTGACTCAAAGGAGCACAGACACCTCACTGTTTATAGCAGCAATATTCACAATAGTCAAAGTAGGAAAGAGCCCAGATGTCCGTCAACAGAAGAATGGATAAAGATGTGGTGTGTGTGTGTATGTGTATACATATATAGTGGAATATTACTCAGCCATTAGAAAGGATGAAATCTTCACTTGCAACAACATGGATGAACTAAAAGGTATTATGCCAAATGAAGTAAGTCAATCAGAGAAAGACAAATAACATGATTTCACTCATATGTGGAATTTAAGAAATAAAGCAAATGAACAAAGGGGAAGGGAGGGAAAAATAAAATAGGAAGAAATCAAAGCGGAAGACAAACCATAAGAGACTCTTAACTCTAGGAAACAAACTGAGGGTTGCTGGATGGGAAGTGGCGGGGGGGCATGGGGTATGGGAATGGGGAATAGGAATGCTGGGTGAGGAGTATTAAGGAAGGTGTGTGATGTAATGAACTTTGGGTGTTCTATGCAACTGATGAATCACTAAAGTCTACCTCTGAAATTAATAATGCACTATATGTTAATTAATTGAATTTAAATACAATAAAAAATAAAAATAATGGCAGAACCATGGACTGTCCTGATGAGGAAGAAAAAGAGCTGTGTAAAGAACCTGAGGTATTTGTAGAAGAGGCCCTACGATGAAAAGAAGGGCACCTAGGGGTCTGACATCCTGGCTCTGTAGTCATAATTATTCTGAGGGAGACTGTGCTTGCTGCCCAGGGACACGTTCTGCCCTCAAGGGCACAGGGCCAGGTCTCACCCAGAGCTCTACAGTCCCTCCCCTATCACTACTAAGGGGGATGAAGGTGAAAAGGGGACAGGCCTATAGCTGAAAGCAGATACTGGAATGTTAAGAGAGGACAAAAAAATAGTAGACCTCTTAACTCTTTCTTTGTCCCAACTTTGCCGGCAATAATTCCTTTCTCACTGAAAAGTCTTTTTTTTTTTTTTAATTTTTATTTATTTATGGTAGTCACACGCAGAGAGAGAGAGAGAGAGAGAGAGGCAGAGACACAGGCAGAGGGAGAAGCAGGCTCCATGCACCGGGAGCCCAACGTGGGATTCGATCCCGGGTCTCCAGGATCGCGCCCTGGGCCAAAGGCAGGCGCCAAACCACTGCGCCACCCAGGGATCCCCTCACTGAAAAGTCTTAACAAATCCTCATAACGGGGAAATGAGAGGGAGAGGATACCAAAGGAGAGCTTTACTACCTAGTGCTTATTCTATATACATATTTTTTATTTACCAAGTTAGACTGAAGCCCTGAAAGCTCACTGAATACTTGCTGAATAAACAGTAAACGAATGTATGCTCCTCATATTTGAGACCTAGATAATATGCTATTTAGCAGATACTCATGTCTCCTATGATTCTAGAACTTGAACCATTCTTAGGCCACAGGCATTTTATGCTACTGGAGGTTTAAAAGATCTACAAATTGGGGATCCCTGGGTGGCCCAGCAGTTTGGCGCCTGCCTTTGGCCCAGGGCGCGATCCTGGAGACCCGGGATCAAATCTCACATCGGGCTCCCGGTGCATGGAGCCTGCTTCTCCCTCTGCCTGTGTCTCTGCCTCTCTCTCTCTCTCTCTCTCTGTGACTATCATAAATAAATTAATTTAAAAAAATCTACAAATTAAGGATGTAGAATGAAAGCCAACAGATAATTAGTAATTCTTGGTTGAGAAAAAAATTATTTACTACTCTGAATTATGAGCTAAAGACATCAGTTCAAAGGAATCAGTATTAATAAACTTTTCTTCTTGTTAAAAGTCATATCAAGCCCTTCAAAACTTGTAACTAAGCAATTACATTCTTTCATATGGATCAATAATGAAAGCTAAACATGAAACTACAAATAGAATCATAACATATACACATTTAACTTATGGAAATCCAACTGTATGCTCTTAACAAATAAAAGGAAAAAACAAATTTTAAAATGTGGGTGATTTCATTATGAATTTTATACATATATATAAAACATTTAATTATAGGTAATTCTGACTACATGTAAGTGAAGATATGCACACTCTTTCCAGAGTACTTTCTTCTACCATTGCTAATGTCAAAGCAAGATAATTAAAACCAATTTACAAATATTTGCAGGATACAAACCTATAGATTTCAACATTCTTGTTTTTTTGTCTAGAGAGTTTAGAGGCACTTGCTTCTCCAGCCACAATTATGGTGTTGTTTTCCATGACCACACCAGCACACACGGTTCCCAAGCCCTCTCCATACTTGGGAGAGGAGACAAAATAGGTCTTCCGTGAAACAGGATCAAAACAAAAACTGGCGTCCCCATAGTTCCTATGTCTTGACCTGATTCCTGAAGAATTGTTGCCAATGCAAAGCAACAGACTAGTAGTCTCCATGCCATAACGAAGATTTAGAGAGTGCTGCTGGGGGGTCTTGATGGCTTTGAATGCATTTTGAATTATGTCAATGCAATTTGCATCACATAGAAGCATTGTGTTCCTTTTTAGGGCTTGTCTTAAAAAAGAAGGATTTATAAGTTCCAATCTGACCTGCTTCAAAAGCTCAACAAGATGCTCTGTGCGCATTTCTTGGTTATGATTTACCCACCTCAGGACTAAGTCCAGAATGCTCTCTTCTCTCGATATGTTAAGGTCATCTGATTTGATAAGTTTCAGAAATTGGTGTGCTTCGATTTCTAGTATTTCTTCATGTAAGCTTACCTCAGCAAAGTGCTGATATAAATATTTCTTCGATTGATCAGATAAATCTTCAGCTCCTATCTGCTTTGCAAAATAATAGATACCTACACAGTTTGAGGCATCCATATGGTCCATCATATATTTTTGACACACACTAAAGATTTCTTCCATCTGCATAAAATAGGCAGCCATAGCTACAGTCTGTACATTGGCATTATTGATTTCTAAAGACGCATTGTACATGTAATTCAATATCACAGACACACTTTCTGCTGTGATGTCATAAAGTATGACTTCCCTCTGAGTACATTCAAGTAGTCCACAGGTGAACATAGCTTTGAAATAGGGACTAAATGCAGACAGGACCAGCCGGTGGCAAGGAAATTTCTCCCCTTCTGCTATCAGTACTACATCGATCATTTCTGCTAATTCTCTCATGTTCTTAACTTGATTCAGTAAGTTCAAACTATGTTGGTATTTTTCTTTTCCCTCAGTCTTGCACTCCATGATACACTTTTCAATGTTTCTAAGTACGACGTCTTCAAATTTAGCTGGATTCTTGAGGGGCTATTTGCATTTCTGATTATTCACAAAGCAACAGAGATGTCCTGGAACACTCCTGATGGAAAGAAAAGAATCCTGTTTCCTGTAAGAAAAAGATTCTCTGTGATTTAAATATGCAGTATTAGTACTAAGAAGTATTTATAAATAAGTGTTACACATTCCAAATTCAGTAGTTTAAGACAACCACTTTTGTACCTAAAAATAATGTGAGAGTATAAACAAGTAAATTATTAACTACTAACACTATTAACCTAATCTGCAGCAGAGATTTTTCTAGGAGGGCTGGTAAGTCCTCCCTGGCAAGGTGAATGAAGAGAAGTGATAAAATGGTACATTTTGCAATTCCATTTGCAGTTACCAAATACAGTGGGCCAAGGAGCAGGGGCATTAGGTAACCTGCTCTCCGAGGAGATGTATCACTGAAAATGTCATGTGCACCTGCCCCCAAAAACACACTTGAATGTTATAATGGCCACAGAACCACACAGGAGGACTAAGGGGAAAAAAGTCCATTAAAATTCTATTCAAACTTCTCCTCTGGGGGAAATAATTCAAAATGGTGCTTTGGAAAGCACCACCAAATGACTGCTGATCTGAGATTCATAACACTCAAAACGTACAACTAAACCATTCTAAACTTAGTGCACAAAAGCCATCCCATTCCTCCATCCCCACTTCTTGTTAAGCTTCTCTTTGCTCCCTACTTCACAGCAGCTGCGATGGACTCCCTTCTCCCCTTAAAAAGCACTGGTCTAATCAAAAGTCTCTTGAACCTAGTTGTCTGTCTTCACCTTGCCCTGGGGAATGGAAACAGGGCCCTTCAAGGACATTAATTAGCTATTTTGATTTAAAGAAAGACATTCCTGGAGTCAGCAACCTTCAGGGGAGAAGCAGATCTCCAGGCCCTGTCACCCTGTCTAGTTCTTACTTGGTTATAAGTTGCACACAGTGAGAATAAATGATGGTAGAAAAGTCAGTACTAAGTACTAGGAATTAAGAAAGGAAGACAGGCAGTAATTTCAATCAGACAAAAGCTAATTTTTCAGCTGTAAAAGTTCTAAATGTTCTACATCTCTGTAATCCTATCAAGATTAGAACGCTCAGTGAGATTTCTCCATTTCAATTCTCAGTGTATTGCAATGAGAGATGGCACTTTTTTGGTGTTGAATTAAAGTTCATTTCAGGAAACAAGGGTTAGGCACCATACGAAGATTTAAGTATATAACGGCAGCTATAAGACCTAAAAATCACTGCACTGGAGCATGTAGAATGATAACAACTAGCCAATCTCAGAACCTATATACCCAAATCAGGAATAAAACCCTGCTTGTCAGATGTGCCAGCATTAATGGCTCAGCTTTATTTCAATAAAAGCTTAAGTCTTTGTGAGGCCTTGCAGGTTAAAAGTGAACCTTTGTTTTTTGCTTTCATCTGTTTTAGACTTTAACAAAGAGAATCCAATTGTGGGTAATTAAGAGGTCATTATATTTCTGAGCTCTCCTACAACACATTAGGAGTAGCCCAAGTCATATCATGTGGACCTCTTTGTACATAAACACATCAATCAATTTTATAGATGGCAGCTGTTACTTTGAGCTGAAAACCAGAAGTTTCCTTATAAGGAAATAAATATTAACAAATTTCTACTATTCCATTTGTACTGATACCTAAAAATCACTTAGAGGATATTGGTACCAGTGCTAGAAAGTCAAGAGCAGTTTCCAGATAGGATCACTAGATCCAGTATGATGTAGGCAGTTCAGACTCATTAGTTCCTAAAGTGTTGACCTTGATGCTGCTAGGAAGAAATGAGATCCTAGGGACTCCGACGTTAGGACAGCAAACCTAGGATTTTGTATCTTTTTTTTTTTTAATATTTATTTATTTAGGGGTATGGGGGGTGGCTCAGTGGTTGAACATCTGCCTTTGGCTCAGGTCATGATCCTGGGGTCCTGGGATTGAGCCCCACATCAGGCTCCCTGCATGGAGCCTGCTTCTCCTCTGCCTGTGTCTCTGCCTTTCTGTGTCTCTCATGAAAAAATAAGTAAAATCTTTTTAAAAAACGATTTATTTATTTGAGAGAATGAGAGAGAGCATAAGCAGGATTGCAGGGCAGAGGGAGAAGCAGACTCTCCACTGAGCTGGGAGCCCGATGTGGGGCTTGATCCCAGGACCCTGGGGTCATGACCTGAGCCAAAGGGGGACGCTTAACCAATTGAGCCACCCAGGTGCCTCAGGATTTCGTATATTTAAGATAGGAACCAAACCACCCTTGTTGAACTTTGTGGCATAGGGCTAGCTTAATAAAAACACAGGGAGCATCAGTTTCAAAGAGAAGTTAAAAATGGAATAACTAGTAGAATATGTGCTTTTCTTTATAAATATAGTAGTACCTTGTAAATAACTTTGCAGTGGACAATGTTGGGTTTCCCCCAGAGTCCAACCTGCCTTCTCTTGGAGCAGATAGAGTAGGACCACTGTGGCTGGTTCAAGGACAGATATGAGACCTGATATCTCACATTCTGGCTAAATCAGAGTGAAGTTCAGGTCTCTGGTTCAATGGCTGGGGTGTCCATGTGTTATGTAGATGAGAGATCTGGAACTGCTACAGCCATGTCCCCATAAGCCAGCATGAGGACATAGTTAATATAGGGAAGAAGGCAGAGAATCCAGAGCATGGGTTTGAAACATGCTTTACATCTCTATTTTTCAGTTTTCAGTGACAAACCATTTCCTTCATTGTTTATGCTAGTTTGAATTGGGATTGCTGTAACTGACACTCAAGAGTCCTTACTGGTACAAAGTGGCATATGCAAAAAAGGTTGAGGAAAGTTTGCTAAAGGTAATTGCAATTACATATTTTGCAAAATTACACTTCTGTTATATTCTTTTTTTTTTTTTTTTTATGATAGTCACAGAGAGAGAGAGAGAGAAAGAGGCAGAGACATAGGCAGAGGGAGAAGCAGGCTCCATGCACCGGGAGCCTGATGTGGGATTCGATCCCAGGTCTCCAGGATCGCGCCCTGGGCCAAAGGCAGGCGCCAAACCGCTGCGCCACCCAGGGATCCCACTTCTGTTATATTCTTATGTTTTCTGATAGTATACTGTCAAGTAAAAGAACTAGAGAAGCTTCTAATTATTCTTTTTTTAAAAAAAAAATATTTTATTTATTTATTTGAGAGAGAAAGAGAAAGAGTGAGAGAGCGTGTGAGAGACTCTGAAGGAGAGAAAGTGACCAGGGAGAAGGAAAGAGGGAGGTAGTGGGAGGGGGAAAAGAATCTCAAGCACACAGCCAATACGGGGCTCAATCTCATGACCTCGAGATCATAACTTGAGCTGAAACCAAAAGCTTGATGCTTAACCAACTGAGCCAGCCAGGCGCCCCTTCGTTTCTTCTTGATCGAAGGCAATAATCACCAAGTGATTCTGAGTTTACCTCTTCTCATTCAATGGCCACATTTTACAGGTGCAGGAATTGAGTTTTAAACTCAGTTCTGACTCCAAAATCTGCAGTCTTAACCATTCACTCTCAAGCAAGAGTGGGCAAAGTAGGGCCAGAGAGTAAATATTTCAGGTTCTTGGGCTCTAGGGTCTCATTCCTAACAACTCAACTCTGCTGTTGTAATGCAAAATGTATGTATGTATGTAATACATAAACAAATGAGCATGGCTGTGTGCCAGTGAAATGTTTTAGGGCTACTGAAACTTGAATTTCATATCTTTTCATGTGTCACGAAACAGTATTCTTCTTTTGATTTTTAAAAGCTATTTAGAATTAAATCCATTCCTAGCTTTGGCTATACAAAAACAGGCCACAGGACAAGGACTCTTGCTCTACTGTTACAAATAAGTTCATTTTCTAGATCATGAAAAGGACAATATCCCATCTGCGTGGCTAACCTCCACTTCTCTGCTTAAGCCCCGCTGAAGAGTTTTGATTCAAAAAGATTAAAAAAGATCATCTGGTTGTCCCCAAGGATCCCAAATATAAGTCAATTTCTTGAACACACACTTTATTTGGATGCAGCTTGTCTGCACCAAATATTGGCTTCAACAACAACAAACACTTTTAAAACAGAAATAACTGTTTCCAACATTCTGAAGAAACATTTATGAATTTTTTAGAGGATGTATATATTTGTTAAGTATCCCCTCCTTCCACTTGTTTTATACACCTCTTGAAAGCTACTCAAGATTTCAATGGATTTATGGACCAAATGAATTTACTGATGGAAATCCTGGAAAATATCCAGGCAGTTAAATGTACCACCATACTTTCAAAGACGGTCTCAGCATTGTGTCCTGTGCCTATAAGGTCCAGAGAAGATACTGGCATTGTAGTTGGGGGCTTTGAAGTGAGTGTGTGCTGGATTTGAATCTCAGTTTAGCCACTTACTTGCTATAATCCTAAAATGACTTAACCTTTCCAAACCTTGGTTTGTTCATCTGTAAAATGGGGAGAATGTATATAAAAGTAGGTCAGTTCTTGGCATCAATAAATGGAAATCATTGTTATTTTATAGTAGCATAGAAGAGTGTAGCTCAAAGTCTAGACACATGGGCTTTGGTTGGGTTACTGAGGTCTGGGTTTGAATCCTTGCTCTACTATCTAGTGACATGAGCAAGTTTCTTAGCCTTTCCTAGCCTTGTTCAGTTTTCTCATCTTTGAGAATTATTTAAGAATAGCTGGGAGAATTCAAGAAGACAATGCATGTACAATACATCATTTGCTTGGTAAAATATGTTTGGTACAACTGAAGCAGGATACACCTGTATAAATGATTTTCTAATAATAACAATGTTTGGGTCCATATACAAACTGCTTGTGGGTACAGACACAGCTTATAAATAAAAGAGAGCTGACAGCAACTTTTTCTTGTAATGAGGGCAGAGAGGGCATTCTCCTCTCATCAGCAAAACAAAACTGTATAAATGTTCTCAATGGTATCAATGGGAAGTTATTCTCTGTTCCAATTTATAGAAGACTGAACTGGTGCATTCATATTAATAGTACCCATAATAACAGAAAAAATGAGTAGCAAAGATAAATACAAATCACAAGAATAAAGCCTAATTACTTTGCAAATCCAAAATGCAGTTATACCCATGTCCAGTGTATTTAGTTTTGAAAGATAAACTGCTACAAATTTTAATGTGGCATAAAAATGTTAAACTGCCAAGGATTTGCTTTTATAATGTTTACTTTTATAATCTTTGCATTATCTTTAAGGTTGCTACTTTTTCTACATAACAAATGATACATGAGTTTGCTTCCATGTTTTGCTGAAGTCAAAACTAGTTTAAATTCATAGCAGCACTGTTTGAAATAGGAAAAAAATGGAAGTAACCTAAATATTGATTAACATGAGAACAGATAAACTAGAGGATATTCACTCAAGAGAATACTGTACAGCATAAACAATGAACGAGAGCTACATATGTCAACATGAATTTCACAAACATAATGTGTGCAAAAGACTGTAGAAGAATAGATGCTATCTATATACCATCGATCTCATGTTTAAAATATGCAAAGTAGTTATGTTCTAACAGAGTAAATATAGATGATATATTCTGACAAAATATAAACAATTGGTAAATCTGGGAAAGGGTATATGGGAGATTTTTATACCATTCTCGGAAGTGTTCTGTGAATTTCAAGTTAGATCATAATAAAAAAATGAGGGGCGCCTGAGTGGCTCAGTTGGTTAAGCATCCGACTCTTGATTTTGGCTCAGGTCATGATCTCAGGGTCCTGAGATGGACCCCAGAGGTGGGAGGCTCCATGCTCAGCAGGGAGTGTGCTGGAGATTCTCTCTCCCTCTGTCCCTAACCCCCTTCAAACTCTCATTCTCTCTTTAATAAATAAATCTTTTAAAAAAAAGATAAAAAATTTAACAAATTATATATCCTTTAAGGATACATACAACTGTGGCGGAATACAGAGGAATGAAGGGTAAGTATAAAAAACATCAAATTTAGGATAGGGTTGCCTTCAGGAAGTGTGAAAGGAGGGAATACAATTGAAGAACTGTACTTACCATAGTGAGCACTGCATACTTTCTGAAATTGTCCAGTTCACTTATGTTGTACACCTGAAACATAACATTGTATGTCAAATACACTTCACTAATACAGATTTAAAAAAAGAGCCTATTTTCACCAACACCACCCCTCATTCAAACACCACAAGGCCCTTCACAATCTGGTATCTCCCCACCTTTCCTGCCTCAGCTCCTGGCTTTCCTTCCTTGTATCTTTCAGTTTTTTAGTATTACTGAACTAACAATTCTTTTTTTTTTTTTAAAGATTTATTTATTTATTTATGATAGACATAGAGAGAGAGAGAGAGGCAGAGACACAGGAGGAGGGAGAAGCAGGCTCCATGCTGGGAGCCTGACATGGGACTCGATCCCGGGACTCTAGGATCGTGCCCTGGGCCAAAGGCAGGTGCTAAACGGCTGAGTCACCCAGGGATCCCCTGAACTAACAATTCTAATGCATACGTTGCCTTTACACATGTTGTTCTGTCTGGAATATCTTTCTCCCCATTCCGCCTGGGTGGTTCAGTGGTTGAGCATCTGCCTTTGGCTCAGGTCGTGATCCTGGGGTTTTGGGATCGAGTCCCACATCAGGCTCCCTGAGAGAAGGCTGCTTCTTCCTCTATGTCTCTGCCTCTCTGTGTCTCTCATGAATAAATAAAATCTTTTAAAAAATGCAAGTGGCTCTTCAAAATTCAGCTCAGGGCACTTGGGTGGCTCAGTGGTTGAGCATCTGCCTTTGGCTCAGGTTGTAATCCTGGGGTCTGGGATGGAGTTCCCAGACGGGCTCCTCACAGGGAGCCTACTTCTCCCTCCACCCATGCCTCTGCCTTTCTGTGTTTCTCATGACTAAATAAATAAAATCTTTAAAAAAAAAATTCAGCTCATACATCACTTTCCCCATGAAACCTTCTCTGCTCTTCCTTGCTTATACCTTGAACATAGTGATTGTTGCATCTGCCTGCCTCCCCTTTCAATGATGAACACATTGAGGGTAGGGGGCTCATGTTTTAATCATTTCCATATTCTTAACATCTTCTGTGATGATGCCTGCTACATTGGAGCTGCTAAATAAGGTCTGTGCAATTAAATGTTTTGTTTAGTCCTAAATTACAAGTTCATGATAACTTTTTTCTTCTCGTTTTATACATGTTAATAAACCACGCTCTTGAGTTTTTCTACATTTAAAAGTTGTGCTTGACTCTTCAAGTTGCTATTTTTCCCAAGTCAAACAAATCACCCAGAACCCTTATGTTGACTTCTTTGCCTGTAGCTTGATGCACTGTGACACCCACTTCTCACTTCTACTTTCAAAGTTAATTCCCAGTCACCATGTGCTCTCAGGAATTAGGCCCCAATTTTTAGGGAACTGAAGCCAGAGATCACAAACTGGCTGCTCACAGACTTTTTTTTTTTTTTTAAGTAATTATCAAAACTGACACACGGTAGCATCTACCGAAAAAAATGGAGGGTGTGGCAACAGTGGACCATTAATTCCCATGGTGACAAATGTGCATGACCTGAGCCCACGGTTGCCACCTCTCAGATGGCACATCTATTCTCTTTTCTCCTTTCTCCAGCCCCCATTATCCTGCAGTGAGACCTGAGTGTCAGTCCTCATTTATAAATCTTCTCATGCTCTTGCTTTTCTCCCCCTGCCTTTTTAGTTACCCTACAGCCATTTATTTGTGACCTCTGGTTTTCACCATTCCATTCCCACATCTTATTTTACTTATCACATATTGCACAGACACTGGTAGAAAATGGCCCAGAATCCCACCACCCTAAATGCACTGAGTTTCCCACTAGTATGGAAAAACACGGATTCATTTAATAGTAATAATCCATCCCCCACACTAGGTGTTTCATAACGGCCAGGCTTATAAATGATAAAGCTCAATAAGACAAGTTTCCTTTTTGCTTTCCTTTGAGGCATTCACACTGTTTTGCATTCTCAGGGTGCTTTATACTTTGCAAAGTGCTTTAACATGCATTATACAGTAGCTCATTAGTTCCTCTTAGGAATCAAGTAGGGGGGAAATGCAAGGCAATTATATTCCTGGCTTTTAAGTTAAGGGAGCTGCCTGGGGATACTTTCGATGCTTACTGAAGCTTTTTAAAGCGCCAGGCCCCACTCAAGGCCCGGGGCTGAGGCCAGGAACGGAGAGACACGGCCTTCCTACCTATATGGAGCTTACAGTCTAGGGAAGGAGGCAAGCGTTAATGCAGATGAGGCTACGGCAGTGAATACTGCCACGTTAGGGAGAGAGGGGACCCCTGGCTGGGCGAGGATGGTCTCTAGAAGGAAGGCACTGCTGGGCTGGGCAGGGCTGGGCAGGGCTGGGCAGGCAGGAGCCGGGCCCCAGGACCAGGGAGGGAAGCGCAGTGGGCCAGCAAGTGCTGAGGGCCGGGAGGCCGCCCCACTGGCCTGGCCCCAGGGCTCAGACAAGGCCCTCGACAGGGGCCCGCGTCTCCTCGGTCACCGTACTTACTAGCTGCTGATCCCCGGCTCGAGGCACGGCCCCACCGCTCCGCAGAGGCCGCAGCGATGGCGCCGTGACCTGGCCCGGTGGCCGCGCAGACCGGGCCGGCCGGGGCGGGGCAGGGCAGCGAGCGGGCTGGGCCGGCGGGCACTGCCCAATATGGGCCTGTCTGGGCCCAGCGATATAAATAGAGCGCGCTGCGCCAGCCGGGGGCCGAGGGCCCGGGCCGCGCGGGGGGGCGGGGAGGGCGCTGGCAGCTCCCCTGCAGCGACAGGTGCGGGCCCTCGGCGCCCGCCTGGGAGCCCAGGATGCGGCCGCTCTGCGCCTGCGCGGGTCGTCCGAGCGGGCCCCCGCGACGGCAGTCGGCTCTGCGCCTGCGCGGGTCGTCCGAGCGGGCCCCAGGGAAGGCCCAGGGTGCGGGCGCAGGCGCAGAGCGGCCGGCGGGCCAGGGCGTCTGGAGGTCTAGTTGGAGCCGGCAAGGAGCTCTTTTAAAGAGAATATAGAAGTTGGATTTTGATAAATGACATATCTGCACCCCTAATTAAAAAAAAATACAAAATGACCAAAACCCAGTATGTGTGGGCTCACTGAAAGTGAAATTTACTGAAAGTAAATACAAATTTCAGGTAAGTAACCGACAGTCTTTAAGTATATGCCCCAAATACTGCACGGTCACTTCACTTTTAAGTGAATGTGGGTGCTGGCAAGTCTACCTGGAAAACTCAGCAGCTCCATCACCTTTGGCCTTAGGTGGGAGGTCCCCGAAAACCTGGGAAAAGACTGATTCGTTATGCCCAGGTGTGGGATGGTGCAGGGAAGAGGAATGTTCCTTGGAGGGAAGTGGAACAACATCTGTGTGGGTAAGGCTGTGCTATTAGGTCAGATAACACAAAATTGTTATCTTATACAAGTTTATTTCTTATATTCTGGAGGTCAGAAGTCCAAAAAGAGTGTCCCTGGGGTAAAAACAAAGTGTCTGCAGGGCTGCTCCCCCCCTTCTTTTCTTGGAGGCCCTAGGGGAGATCTGTTTCCTTGCCTTTCCAGCTTCTATGAACTGTACTCATTCTGCAACTCACGGCCCTTTCCTCCATCTTCAGAGCAGGAAACAGGCAATTCTTTCCCAGATTGCACTTTGTACTAATTTTCCTCTTTCCTCTTCTTTTAAAAATTTAAATTGTGGTTAAATAAACATAAAATTTTACCAATTTTTAAGTGTATGATTCAGTGGCATTAAATACATCCACAATGGTGTGCAGCCATCCCTACTACCCATTTCCAGAATTTTGTCATCAGAAAGAAAACAACAGTTTCTCAAATAGAAACTTTGTAGGCATTAAATAATAACTCTCTTTGCTCCCCTGGTTTGCCTCTTCCCCCAGCACCTGGAGACTTCTATTCCAATTTCTGTCTCTATGACTTTGCTTCCTTCAGATGCTTCATATAAGTAGAATCATACAGTATTTGTCCATATGTGTCTGGCTTATTTTAGTTAGCATGATGTCCTCAAGATTTATCCACATCATGGTATGTATCAGTATTTCATTCCTTTTTAAAGTTGAATAGCATTCCATTGTGCATGTACATGTGCATGTGTGTATACACACATACCATATTTAAAACAAAACACATTCCATGTTGGTAAAATTCCTTAAAGCATTTTAGAAGCTTATGTCAGTCCTTGCATGCATTTATGTTTACATGTACATATTACAGTTGTTTGATAAAACTCCTCTCTCCCTTTCCCACAAACAGCTGATCTGTTTAGCCCACTTTAAGTCCTTCTACACCTGATTCTTTTCCTGCTTCTGGTTTGGTTTACCAGATGATTGTGCTAAGCTAATGAATCTTTCTCAGCTTGCTCTGAAGACTATGTTTGATTTCCCATGTGGCTACTTTATTTCACCTTTTCTAGAGGAAGTGAAACACACGTCAAGAGCTAAGGCTTCCTGTGGGTGGAGAGGCTAAGTTGGAAGCTGAGCTCTTGGGGAGTTTAGCGGATTCTCAGATGATTTGCCAGATATTAATGAAGGATTAATATTGTCAAATATACTGATATGCCAAAAACTTGTTTTAAGGCACATGCTTTTTGAATAGATTATACATAAATATGTACTTTACTCAGTAGTGGCTTACTGCTTCTTTTTCAGCCTTCATTTTCTTACAATGTTGAGTTGCTTTCCTGTATTCCTTCGGGTGTATTTTGCCATTTTGGTTTAATGTAGTCCTCCTCCCGCCGCCTTGAAGCTAATCTACCCCATGTCTGGCTCCCTTTTATTGTGATTTGCCTCCGGGCAGCTTTTCCTTGATAAAGAAGTCACTTTTCTCTCCACATATCCATTCCTGCCCCATGACATCTCCACCTTTTAAAGGAAAAATACACATCTCGGAACTATTCCCAACACAGCATACTGGTTCATATCCTGAACTATTATCTATCACTTGGCTTGGCAACCAGGCTTCTAAGTGAAAAAATGAACAACCAACCTGATCATTTCAAACTTAATTCAACCCCAAAACAGCCTGCCACAGAATGACAAATGGATACACACTAGTGGAATCAGCTTGTCTTCATTCTTGCTCTCCTGCTGTACTTCTGCTACATCTTATCTATGGAGTGATATTTTTGAAATATTATCTTTCTTCCCACCCTCCTTCCTTCGGCATATATTTCCTTATGATGCTTTGCTTCTCTGTGCCATTTCAAAGTTGCAGCTGCTCTAGCTCATTGCCTCTGAGGAGCGGGGTGTGGAAAAATCAGGACCTCAGAAAACCTGGCAGGTGGGGAACAGAAGAAATACTCTCTTCTGATTCCAGAAGCCTTGGCTCTTTCAAAACAGGAATGAATTATTGGTATGTGTAATACATTTGGGAGGAAACCAAAATTACAGCAATGATCTTCTATCCATACCTCTTTCCCCAGCTGAGAAAAGGGGGTCTCTGGAGGAGAGATAATAAGGAAGAAGACCCATGCCCTGTTCAGCCGAACTAAGTATGGGGTAGTTTGGCAGCCAGAACCCAAAGAGAGGAAATGATTCCATAGTGTCTTGGCCAGTGACGGCTTCAGGTAACCATTCGAGAGGCTTGCGTACTCACCCAGGGCCCAGTGAGGCCAGAGGCACTGACAGAGAGGCCCCTGCAGAGAGGTACATGGAGACTCTTGCAAGACCAAAGACCTAGGGGCAATGCAGACAGAGGACAGCCATTGAGTATGGGAAGGCTTGCCCCTTAGCCTGACTCCAGTGTGTTGGTTAGATATCCTTGCCCCCCCCAAACTCAGATGCAACTCTGGGGAAAGGGAAGGCTTGGCCATCCTGGTGGCAGGGAACTTCAACTATTAGTATTGACCCTAGTAAAGTAGTATTTCACTCACACTGTAGTTTGTGGACTGTGGAAATAGAGGACTTGACACACCCAAAGTCTGGTGCAGAAGCATGAGCAGCAGCAGAAGTGGTTTGTCACTCTATGGGGGATGGGATGCAGGGAGCCTAGGGATTCTTTCAACTTTAGTTTCAGCAAGCAATGAGAGCAATTTGAAAAAGAGAGATAAGAAACAGGAACTAAAATTATCACTACCAAGTCTTTTGTCTGTAGCTGGTTCTCTTCCCATCCTGAATGTTAGTCTTTCTTGTTCATGGCTGGATCCTCAGCACCTGGAAAAGTGCCTGGCACAAAGGCAGTGCTCAAAAATCATTAGGGAGGGGCAGCCCAGCCCGGTGGCTCAGCCGTTTAGTGCCACCTTCAGCCCAGGGCCTGATCCTGGTGACCCGGGATGGAGTCCCACATCGGGCTCCCTGGGTGGAGCCTGCTTCTCCCTCTGCCTGTGTCTCTGTCTCTCTCTGTGTGTCTCTCATGGGTGAATAAATAACATCTTTAAAAAAATTTTTTTTAAAAATCATTAGGGAGTGAACCAGCAAGTGGGTCAGAGCAGTTTGTTGAAGGTACTGGGTGGGATTCAGTCTGGCTAGTGTGGGATGCCCCTGAACCAGGCTTGGATGTGAGAGCACTGGGGGCACTGTATCTCAGGGCAATAGAAGAAATGCCCCTATCCCTGCTGCTCTGCTGGGTGAAGAGATGGACTTCAGAAACTTCCACAGCTGCCTCACACTCTCCCTTCACAGAGCTGTCAGAGGTCTTTGATTCACCTTTGGGTGACTTGACTCACCTCTACCTCCAGGTGTCCTGTGGGTGCCTCTGACTAATGGAAGCCAGGTCACCAATCCACACCCTGGCTTTGAGAGCGTCTAAGGGACAGAACTTCAAGAAAAACAATTTTTTGTACTTTTTAGTTCTTAGAGTTGGAGGGTTGGGTTGGGAGGCATGTTGCCACACCTCCATCATTTTCAGGTTTGTGGGCTGTGGGAAGCTAGGCCACCACCACCTGACAGAGCCAGAGGTAAGTATGGGGGGCAGGCAGGGTTTTCGTGCCCAGCACTTGTGGGTGTGGGGGGGTCAGGGGTTCCAGCAGTTGCAGCGCTTCATTTTTATATCTTTATTGTCTGTTTTGGTCTGAAGGGCTCAGGGCATTATTGCCTGTGGCTGTCATGTGGTGCTCAGCCTACAGAGCTTCGTATTGTAGCAGGTGCACACACCTGTTGTAGTTTCCCATCAAGCCCGAAGGCTTCTAGAGACCAAGGGCTTTGTCCTGTTCACCTTTGTGGTGCATTCTCATGCCTGCCTCAGGCCCCATAGAACAGATGGTCAGGGAACATTTACTGATTTGGGTGACCAGGAGGCAGAGCTGATAAGTGACAGGAGAGTGGGGCGGGGCTGAGACACCTGGTATCCTAACCTGGCACTGCTCCTGAAGACTTCCTGGCCTCCTGTAACTCAGCTCTGGGAGTTTAACAGGCAAAGTGATAATGCACCTACCTCACACCCAAGTTTTAGGAGGATGAACTAGGAGAAGGATCAGATGTGAAAAGGGCTTTGATAAACTATCAAGTAACTCAACTTCATTTGCCCTGATGAGGCTGGAAACTCCTTTCCCCAAAGATCATGAAAATGGGACAGAAAGCCATTTCTTCCTGATAATATTTATTGTATCCTGTCTTGAGGCAGAGGTATGGACTGTACTTCTTTTGAAGGCTCTTCCACTTTCAGAATCCATCACGGGGAAGCATGGGGAAGGGAGTTATCTATCTACCAAGCCATGTTTTCCCACTGCTATGACGGTAAACCATGCTCACATGTGCAGCCTTCAACCTGCAGGTGTTCAAGGCTATGCACCAAATCTAATAGATCTGAGGGTTTTTGAAAGATCATGAACTTTCTGGAAGCCACATTTCTCTCTCTATACCAAGA